GAGTTCGGCAAGTTTTGCCGAACATGTGACAGCAAAGACGCAACATAAGAAGTTCAAGTTTTCCCGATGCGAAGCATCCTTTAATCGATTAATATGCTATGACACATTCAATAACATTGTCAGCAAAATAATTTGGATTAAGTACTGTACCACTAATGTTTATAATTAAGCTATACTACAAACGTTCCGAGCGGTTGAAATCCCGCAGCTTACAGCGCTGGGTGGCGCAGTCAATGTCATCTTTGCCTCTTGTACGCGAGAAAGACGTGACTCCCACCGTCGATGCCACCAGTGGCTCTACACGGTGGCTTTGCTTTGCTGAGGATCTGTTATAACCGTCCTCCTGCCGTCTAACGTCGTGTGTACCAGGCGCGCCGCGCCGTTGTCAGTCCGACCCGCCCCCGTGTTCGATGACGCTGGCTCTCCTCGTGCTGTCTCCTTGCCGACACCGGACTCCGCCCGACGTCTCCCTCCGCATCTCCCCAACAACGCCGGCCTGCCTTCGTGAAGTGCAGCTTCATGGCGTTCCCTGCCTCCCATGTCACCTGTCCTAAGACAGCGTGCTCGTGGCTAACGCCTGCCGGCCGGCTTTGTAGACTTGTGTCGTTGCAGCGGACCACAAGTCGCCCGGGCTGCGCTTATCTTTATGGCCCGGGTTGTTGAGAAGTCCGCTCCAGCTTGATCCTTCTGTATGGTGCCGTTTGGATGTACATGCCGACTTGTTTGGATATATGTCTGCACTAGGGTGGCGGTCTCACTATGTTGTCCAGGCTTAAGTGCACGCTGCTTTTAAAGTTCCTGCTAGTTGTGGTGAAGTCATCTGCTGTGCTAAAGCGCACATCTCCATTTTTTTCTCTCTCTCTCTCCCTCTCTCTCTCTCTCTCTCTCTCTCTCTCTCTCTCTTCCCCTCTATACATTTTACATTAAAAAACATACATGGCAATATTGATATCCAGTAGTAAGGCAGTCAAGTAGATGGACCGATTCATTATGTGCTGAAGAACTTAACCCCATCTTAATTCATCGTGTACGATCCTTGTGCTTAGAAGGGCATCCACGTCTCGACTGGAGTGAAGGTGGACGTAGATGTACCGACTCAAACTGAATTTCAGACAGGAAGAGCCAATGAGCTTTATATTTTTATGAGCTAATATTTTGCAACCCTGCAACTAAATGACAGCAGTCCGGCTTAAACGAAGCTGGGGTGACATGTTCCCCTAACCTCGCCCCACCACAGGTTAGCACGATGTACGTAATAGTGACACCTAAAGTCAGGAGTGTAATTCCGCCAAGCCAGTTGCGGGATGTGACAGGCAAAAACCACTATGCCTTTCCACAGATGAACCAAGTTTATTGAAGGTGAGGCTGAGTATGGGGCTGAAGAAAAGTGAGGATCAGCAGCAGAAGCGGGTCCTCTCCTGCCTGCTGGGGTGCCTGTGCTAGTAGCTAACTCTATGATAGGCTAGATATAACCAGAGGTAGTACGGTGATGGCCGCGTTAACGCAGGCTATTTCATCAATATAAATAGGTTTTAAAGTGATGTTAAAGTTCGAGGTATTAGAACTCCGCGCCAAACTGACACTTAATCAGTGTATGTACATTTTTACCTAAATTTAAGAAGAGACAGACACGTCTTATCTACGATCGCTCCAGACGCGCGGCGTACCTTCGGCAACGTAAGTTGCTGCAATCCCAGATGGAGAGGGCCAGATTGCTGGCACATGGAGTACAGCTAGATTTCAAACATTCTACATTGCGAAAGCGTCAGTAGTATTGCGCTAGGTTTGATCGAACCAAAAGCAAGTTATCCAGCGGTGAAGATATTAATAGCGTCATTTTTACTGCTGTCTTACCTTGACAAATTAGCCCGCTAAGGCTCGACCGTATCTAGAAGAACTGTGGACTAGCAATCATAAACTCCCATGTGTAGAACTTACACACTGATCTGTGAGAGATACGGAGATTCGAGGTTTGATAAGCAGACCGGCTTATTTCGTTGCATAAATACCATCCTTCTGAGACATTCTTTTTTATTCCCATTTTTATCGAAGCGAATTCCGTCCTTAGCTCAGCGGTCAGAGTAAATGAATGTGTGGTGGGCGATGCGCAGTTTATTACGACGCCGAGGTCCATCCGACTATGCGGTCGTCTCGCTAAATCGCTCTCACTAAGATTCAACGGAATCTTGATACAACTGATAAATGACACACAATGTCCTCATGCCCACTCGGAGGGTGCTACATTCAGTGCAGGGTTATCTTTGCCATTGTTCCCTTGCTCCGTGTCACCCACGTGAAGTGGTGCTTCCGCTACCTTCTCTACTTTTTGAAACAGGTGCTGAATGCGCTCCAGCGAAAGGCCTTTCGTCTCGGGTAAGCAGAATGTGGCATAGACCACTTGCAGGCCACTCACTGCCATATGCAAGAGGAAGACGCCACCGAAACCGATCAGCTCCGTCAGCGGCGAGAACGTCTTGACGAACATGAACAGCATGGTGTTCATCATGCCCATAAGGATGTTCGCGCAGAAGGTTCGCGTGCGGTTCGGCAGGAGTTCGTTAACGTAGGTGAGCGCGATGGGGGCGATAATGCATGCAAAAGAATACTGCGTGAGTGTCGCGCCGACCAGCACGACCCAGCCCAGTGTTTGCTGCAGAGCCTCGGGCAAGTAGAAGAAGACGGCAATTGTGGCGCATCCCAGCCCGGAGAGCGAGCCGCTGACGCGCAGCAGTGGCAAACGGCCGAAACGCTTCGATGACGAAGCTGGTCGGGACGGAAAAGATGGCGGCCACGGCAAGCGGCAGCATTGCGCTTTGGTAGTCGTTGAGCGGCAGGTTCACCGGCTGCAGGATGTACGAGGGTGATGTAGTTGATGCCGATGCCACCACTCCAGATAAATATGACGAGCTGACCGAATGCCAGCAGGAGCGGCATGAGCGTCTCCCGTTGGAGGATGAGCTTCCAAAGCGGCAAGGAAACACCGTCGACGTCCAGATGCCGCAGCGAGTCCTGTATGTTGCGAACCTCCGAGTCAGCGTCAGCTTCCGTCCCATGGAAGAAGCGAATTGCACGCAGGGCCCTCCTCCTCCGAGTGTCCGTGCGAGAGCAAGCCACTTGGGCGAGTTGTGAATGAAGTACAGGCCAGCGAGACAAATGCCGGCAGGCAAGAACCCGGCGCCGATGTGGAATGTCGTCCAGTGCACGTATTGTGCAATAAGGAGTCCGATCGCCTGGCTGGCGAACACCATCGTGTTCAGAATAGCTGTGTAAAGCGTGCGCCTGTTCGGCGGCACGATTTCGGACACGTAGCCTCGTACGGTGGTCTCCGACATGCCAAGCATGATAAACATCACCAGTCGGCCGAGCAGCACCAGCGGGAAGCTCTGGCCCAGCGCGACCACCAGAGAAGCCAGCGCGTAGAGCGGCTGCGAGAACATCAGCAGGCGTCGGGCGCCCAGCACAGGCGCGACGGGCATGGCGAGCATGCAGCCGGCCATGGCGCCCAGCGGGCAGGAGGCGATCGCCCAGTTGAGCTGGTTGTCGGCCATGAAGCGGTTCGTGTCCTGGGGCACCTGAACCACCAGGATGCTGTGCAGGGCGACGTTGAGGCCCATGCCCGTCAGGACCTGCCCGGTAATCAGGGTGGCCAGCAGCTGCGAAAAGAAGAGCCCCTTGAGTTTTACCATCTCTTTCGTGCATGCTAGATTTTTAGTGCCAACGATTGAATCCAGAATATCATGAGTGATGAAGAACGAGCGTAACCATGATGTACCATCAAGACCAGAAGGCAATTTTTAAGGAGACTGTTTTGCATTTGTATGAGGTTTTGCGCTGAAATAGCCATCTTGGAAATCACTCGGTGCAGTTCACAGCCGTGCCATTCTCAAGGTCTAAAACTCCTACTTTCTGAGCTACACGCCCGCAAAGATGTGTGGGCTATTTCATGCAGACCAAGTTTCAGTCACGAGTCACGTTTTGTGCTGCATTATATAAAAGTTGGACACGGGTGCTAGTGGTTACGGAAATAAGGCTTGCAATGAATTAACTTCAAAACAGCGTCATTACCGAGTATGTGAATATAAGCAAACACCTTAAACGCGCAGATAAATGTTAAGAGCACTACGAGAAAGGGCCAAAACACTATAAAAGCACGATACTGCTTGGTTCAGCAACACCTCGAGCACCGCCACGGCCACATCTCGAAATTTAAGTACCACAAGTGAGTGATGGGGTGGCAATTTCGCACGGTCAGTTTGGCAGCATTTCGGCCAAGGCTTTCCAATGTAATTGTCCGCGTCACTCAGGTGCTCTTAGTTTCTGAGATCTTAAAGAGGATCCTGGGGGCGACGAGCGGAGAGTAAAGGTGGATAATGCTACCGTACTGCGAGGGTTCATCTTAGCGTTTAATGTTTGAGCACAAAGGATCGCCTCTCTGTCATTACGCGTGCCAAACGATCCGATCATTTTATATTTGTCAGTTATCTTTAGGCTATAATGTGGTCATAATTTTCCCCGTGATCTCCATATTTTCTGAACTACTTCGATTCTGAACAGAATTCCTTTGATATCTGCTGTTAACCTCTTGGCTCAGGCGGAGAGGGGAGATATATTTCCTTTACACGCACACAACCCCCCCCCCCCCCCAATCCCTCTGCTACGTTCCTGTATTTAGGCATCTACGGATATTGATGTGCAAGGGTGTCGCTTTACATGGGCACTGACCGTCGGCCAGTTGTTTGACTTTTTCTCTTCCTGCTTAGCTGCTTTGGAGGCCTCTTCTTGTTTCTTCTCCATTTTCAGCATCCCTGGCAGCTGTCGGTGGTGGTCGTCGCCAACAGCGCTAAGAGCCGCACGGTCCGCTGTCGGTGGTGGTCGCGAAAAGCGCCATGAACCGCAAGGCCATGTCTTTTCTAGCCCGTGAACAGAGGCGTGTCCAGGGGAAAACAGACATAAAATGGTCAATTAGCATATGTGTATTCCAACGCAAACGCTGTTGCATGTCTGTGCGTCCTCTCTTGTGGCTGGATTTGACGCAGGCCCAACAAAGTACAATGCTGCGTGCGCCTCTGGTTGGGAAACTTTTCGTGACTGGACCTAATGTGCGCGGGTAACCGTGACGGTGCGTTCCAACCCCCAACCCGGGTGCTGAACCCCCGTCACTGTTGGCCTGATTTGGGTCTGCGCTCGGACAACGCTGTGTGACATTACATGCTGTTCGATGCGCGCAACATTCAGAGTTCGCATGACGCACGCGTGTTGCGGCGCAACGACAGAAGCAATACCTTCGACCACTTATGTCGCTGGTTGATTGGCGTTCTCGAGACTGACGTGAACGGTACGGCGTGAGTAAAACCCTCGTGAGCAGCACAGAAATGAAATATCTTGGAGTTAATTACTGCGCGTTTATCGCCACCCCACCCCGCAACCCATCACTGCGCAGCACGTTTGCCGCCGGGTCCTCGGTACCCCACCGTGCCACTCGCTCCACCGAAGCTGGATGGCTGGAGCTGTCAAAATAGCGGCTGGCGTGCTCACAGAGGCGCTTTCGGTACCGACCGTTGTCCTCGTGGAATGGACTGCCGGTCGGTGGGACAAGCGTCGTTCACTGTCCGCCTTTGAGCGTGCCGTGAGAGACGTGAACAGTTGGGCGGAGGTTTGAGATGTGATCTTGTCGCTGATGCACATTCGTACTTGCGTGTCATTTTTGTCTTAGCATGCCTGCAATGTTTGCAGTCGTGTACATTGTGTTTCTAACACTTTTAACAATAATCGCGTACTTGGTTTTGTATTTGACCGTAAAAGTATCATGCGAAAGACTTCCTTTTATTTTTTGACGATATGTACTGGATGCAAATCCGGAAGTCATTCGATGGACAGATTTTAGATCACATACAAGCATACATACGTACAGCGAACGAACCTGGTATTAAATTATATGTCAACAAAACCTACTGTGCTCATACTGTTCGAAGGTATACTGAACACCGATTCTAAAAATCTACAGCAAATAGTGTCTTGGAAGGACGCAGCGCAGCGTCCGCAATAACACATTTTGCTCCATTGTCCCATCTGAGACCAGTTTTCCACTTGATGACGTCATGAGAAGTGGTGGCCGCTTTGCGGAGGCTCTGTGATTGTTCAGAGGTTCAAAGGTCTGGTAAAGTTCTCACCGTACCGTCACTGGTGGCACCTGAAGCCTGCGAAATAGGTTTTTTTCCTTTTCATAAATTCACACCAGTATTTGCTATGCGTGTTGTATATTTTTCACCACAGTTTGATTATAAATCAATGCAGTGTTTTGCAGAAATTTCGTATTACTAAAACGGCGTAGGGTTAACTCTGCTAGCGGCTTTTTTGACGCACCGGAGCGTGCTAGTACGTAACGCATTATCACATAACAAACAAGTGCACGATGTCCTCGTCCTCCGTTTACAATTGTCTGCTGCTGAAAACGATTCGTTGGAGGTTAAGTCTCACTGCAGTCTGGACTATGCAGCTGTTAGTGACTCTGAAGTTCACAGATGTGTTGAAAGCATCAAATGGTGAATGGATGTTTCACGTTACCGCAAACCATGAAGAATTTCAATATTTTGCGAATGTGTTGCATCAGACTAGCTTTCAATAATTCATGGTGTCACAGCAAATTGCAAATTGCAGCTGTGGTAATATTTCGAATAGCAGGGGTTTGATGGGCTTGGGATGTTGTTCTTTAAAATCAGCAATTGCGGGTGGGTAATGTTCGATCTGATGAACAGCCTCAACCAAAAATGAATGCTTAACAGTCTGGTAAGCATTGTGGCTTATGGTGGCCTGGTATGGCTTGGTCATATTAGGCTATAAGTAACCATACTAATTGGGGAACTAACTCATCCTGGTGTGAAGTCACAGCTAGCTTAATCACTGTCTCATTTCGCTCACTTGAAACATTTACGTTCGACGTTGCCACTAACTTTGCATTGGGATTTGTCCTCACATTTACGTTGTCTGCAGATATCTGCCCGGGTCTCAATGTTGGTTGCTGGCTCACACTTCAAACAAGGCCCTAGATCTGTTTTTACTTTTTCATAGCTCTAGATCCCTGATTTTGGGTCGTCCTGTCACAAATACTAGTGCATGGCTCCCGAATCCTAGTTATAATTTGTAAACACCTGGCCTTGGTTCCTGGTTTTCATTTATTTTTCGCAACCTACGATCTGAGTTCTTGGTTACAATTAGTTCCTCACAAACAGCAGACCCTCTTTTCCGGTTTCCATTAATGCACTAAAAAACCTTCGATCCCACATTCTGTTTGTCCCTGGTACATTTGTAACCACCAGAGCTCTGGACAACAACCTCCACCCCATCTCTACTCGCTTCACGCCCACCTGGGCGTGATGTGACTGTGGAGTGAGCGTGGTGAATACGTACTGATTTCTAACAGTAGTTCCAGGTACGGTCCTGGTTTTTGTTGATGCGTTGGACTTTGTGCCGCGTCTTGGTGGCTGCTGGACCCCGTTATTTCCAGATTGGCTGTGGGTCTTTGCGGGATCTTGGGCCGTTTTCCATGATAAATATTTGCTGTTAAATGACTTCAAGCTGAGCCTTGGTTCTTGCTAGCTTCCTCTGCATGTTTCAGCCCGAGTATTGGTTCTTGCTGGATCTGTCAGTTTCGTTTGAAAACTGCATCCTGGCCTTAGCTGGTCCCACAAGCTCAATTCAGCGCTTACTCATGAATCTTGCTGCATCTCCGAATTCACTCATCTAACCAATCATAGACTTATAAAGATACCGGAGCACTGCCCCCCAGCTCCCCCTGGCTCCTCAGACACCAGAGATCCTATCTACGTTTTTACTTTAAAACACTCACGATATATTCCCCTGAGACTTTCTGATCTTTGGGTGCGATTGTAAAGCATTCTGACGAGATATCGTCGTTAAAAAACCTAGCGGGTAGTTCGAGCAGCGCGCGCGAAATATGTACGAGAGATGTGCGTGTTACAACTGACGCCACAAACAGGCGCTCATTTGGGCCAGACTGGAGAGGGCTTTTTCATCCACCTTGTTGCTTGTTGTGTTGTTGAAAAAAACTTGTTGCACCGATAGACATCATGGCAACTGCTCATGTTCTCTCGCCAAGCACGACCGGTGGCCCACCGGAGCCCTACCACGAGCTTGCAATAAAGGCACACCACTGGCACCCTGTCGTCGTCGCTGCCCCCGGCTTGCCGGTGATTGTCAACAGGCGGCTTCGTGAGGCCCAGCAGATGGCTGCAAGAATCATGGCATGCTTCTGTCGCTAACGCGGAGAAGATAAGATCGTGCGACACTCCGCTCCGAGAGCGCAGCTTAGATGCGCCCTGCGACACGACCCATGACATTTGAATGGACTTGCAAATGGGGTGCCGCATCGCCTAGCACCTTTATAGAAGGCGGCTCAGTTCTGACGCTCGAGAAGCGGCTTGTCCTTGCTTATTCCGGACACTGTCGTCTGCAAGTTAGGTGCTGGTGTTCGCAACAAGCCCGATGCACTTGGCGTTCGGAGGATATCATCATTCTGAAGCACTCGGAATACATTTTCACACTGCACAACGCAGCGCGGTTATTAAGCATTTCCAGAGTCATGAACGTGGCGAATATTATTGTCAATCTTGATTCAATCGTTGTTATATTTGCAACTTGGACTTACTTACAGCCTCTAAAGTTGTCAAAATTGTAATGGTTGTCCTCCTGGCGACTCACAATCGCTTCATGTATTTTGCCTTTCTTTTTAAAAATCAACCCAAAACTTTTGAACGGATCTATTTCTGGAATCAAAGCTCAACCTAGGCAGTGCCTTTTGAGTGGGCCCTGACCTGTACTATTCCATCACGCAGTTCTACGCCAACGGGAGAATTAAGTGGCGTAATTATAACGTGCCGCAATGCTTGACACGGTCCGTCCTGCCTTCTGACGTCAACTGACCTTTAGTGTGGCCGCTGCCACCGACGAAGGCCATACCTGTCAAGGACAAATGACGAGCGAGGATGTAGGAACTAGCGTTACTCTGCCCACTCTGCCGCAGTGTGTCACATCACTCGCCGGCAATCGCACCCAGCGTGCAGGATCTGCTGGACTGCAGGAGCGTGGCGACGTTGCACAGATGAAATTGTTCGGCCTTATCTCAGGGCTGAAAACCGAAGCGATGTTTGGAAGTTTTTAGAAAGCACCGTACACACCCACACCCACATCCACACATGCCACACCCTCCCATACACCCACACCCATACACGTACCCACACCCACACTCACCCACCCACACCCACACCCACCCACACCCACCCACACCCACACCCACCCAAACGCACACACACACACACACACACACACACACACACACACACACACACACACACACACACAACACACACACACACACACACACACACACACACACACACACACACACACACACACCACACACACACACACACCACACACACACACACACACACACACGCACACACACACACACACACACACACACACGCAAGCACCACACACACACATGTACGCGCGTACCCACATGCACACGCACACGCATACGCACACGCACACGCACACGCACACGCACACGCACACACACGCACACACACATACACACACACACACACACACACATATATATATATATATATATATATATATATATATATATATATATATATATATGTATAGAGCTGTATGTACATTACAAATCACAGCTAACCCAGCATTGATGATCTCCTTGGATGTTTTTTCGGTAAGTCTGATGAGAGTTTTCTATTCCTTTCGATGTTCGCTTTAAAACGGCCCGAAAGTTCATGATGCAAGGAAGATATTTATTACCATATTTTAG